AATGCTTATGTATCCATGTACAGTTCACAATGATTTAAGTTGATCTAACCAAATGCTGCAGAAGAGATAGAGGAGTAATGTTCAATTTAATGTCCTTTTTAATGTGTCCCCAACCCCAGGCTCCTATTCTCTACACCATCCGGCTCCTCCGTCCACCCTCCCACGTCTCACCCATTCGCTCCTCAAACTCTGACTGTGAGGAGATGCTGGATTTCCTCGAGTCCAAAATTGATGGGATCCGTTCAGCTGCCTCCACCCTCTCAACCGCCACCCCCTCCCCATCTCCCCCTCACACTCCGACCTTACCCATCCCTCCCTCCACATCTTCAAACCTGAATCCCCCTCCTCTCTCACCACCACCAGTGGACAGGGGATGATGGGTTAAGGAGGTGCTAATGATGGAAAACAGAAGGGGAGTGCGGGAAGAATTGCAACAAAATAGGCAGACCAGAGAGAGATAATGTGTGTCTGGGGCCCAGATGATGTGGTAATAGTCGCAGAAGAGGGGGAGGGGGAATGTGAGCTGTTATGGTCTGAAATTGTTGAAATCAATATTGAGGCCAGAGGGCTGTAAGGTCCCTAGCAGATAAAACTGCTAGAGACCTTACGCATCTGCTCTGACGATGCCACCTTTCACATTAGGGCAGCTGAAATGTCTTCCTTTTTCCTCGGCCGAGGATTTCCATCCACTGTGGTAGACAGGGTCCTTGACCGTGTCCGCCCTATTTCCCGCACCTCGCACTACCAGAACTCTGATGTCGACAGCCACCCTCTGAAGTGCTTACTCCTTTTCTTGTTTTGGAATATTACAGAGACGCGAGGATAGAGTCGGTAGAAACAACAGCTCTTAATTAAGACCTAATAACCCTCGGCTACCTTGCATATAAGGAGTACAACAATTTAAGATAAACAACAATGAGATCAAATATAACTATTGCACATAACTATATCAACTTGCAACACTTAATAAAACTGGTTATTGAAGGACCACCTGTTTCTGTGAGCTTGATTGTCTGAAATATTAATTTACAAATAGTTAAACTACGAGGATTTTAATTAAAGTAAATTCCCTATTGACCTGTTTATTTTCCATATCAACCACACCATCGGCAGTCGGGCCTTCAGCCTCTCTGCTCCCATCCTTTGGAATTCCTTCCCACAGTTCCTTCTCCTTACTCCCTCCCTTGCCTCTTTCAAGGCATGTCTTAAGACCCTCCTCTTCGACTGCGCCTTCGGTCAACTTCCTACCCCTACCTTCCTTGCCCTCCACCCCTCCTGATCCCAACACCCAGTTTAGGTCCAAATCCCTAACTGCCCAGCTCCTTGGGATGTCCTCCCAACGTGAAAGGCACTATATACATGTAATTTGATGTTTTTGTTGTTATTGATGCTGTAGTTTTCCAACCCTGAAATGGAGTAAATTGCTCATAAATTCAATACAAAATTACATTTGTATAGCGCCTTTCACATCGGGAAGACGTCCCAAGCACTGGAAAGGCACTATACAAATGTAATTTGTTGTTGTAAATACAATATAAGATTGACCCACTTGCAGTCAATACAGGGGCAGGGGAGGTAAGTGAGGTATTCCTGGAGCTCAGCTGGCACCATGGTGATATGCTTGCAACACAATATGGTAAAAAGATGTTGGAATTTAGTCAATCCTCCTCTCAGTATTCTGGTTCCTGAACTTGGTGGATTGCAGTACTCCAAGGACACTGCTAATGACAGAACAGCCATCCTGGCTCATCAGCGGGATTTGGAGGGACAGATCAGAAACAAAGTATTAGCACCTGGGGATAGGAAGTGGTTCAGGCATGTTGTACAATTTCTTCAATGTCTAATGCTCAGGGTAACGAGAGAACATAAATGAGTGTTTTCATTGAATATGTCTTCACTGTTAGAATGTGAGAAACAGGATTGTTTCTTGAGTCTTAGGAAGAGGACAATAAAAAAGATGTGTAGATTGTTGGGTGGGAGGTGGAATTATTCCGGGAGTGGAGTCAATGTATTAAGGTTTCTCTTGAATACATTGATGCTGTTTGCTTCAATCACAGCTTCCCCATTTCATTCACAATGAGTTCCACATTCTCACTATCCTCTGTGTCTGAAGTTCCTCCTAAACCCCCTATTAGATACACTACTTATATTTACTTCTTACTTATATTTACCCCACCACTAACTGTCCCCTCCGCATCGGACTGTACAATCCATGACCTCATCGTCGAGGAAAATATCGACATCCTCGCCCTCACCGAAACCTGTGTCACCCCAGGCGACACTTTCCTACTCGTTGAGGCCACACCTCCAGGTTACACCTTTCACCAAACCCCACGGCCTAATCACCGTGGTGGTGGTGTGGCTCTCATCACCCGGTCGCCCCTCGGCCTTTCCCCTTACTCCTCCAGAACCTTCCCTTCCTTTGAACACCTTACTCTCTACCACATCTCCACGCTCTCCCTCAAAATCCTCCTTGTTTACCGTTCCCCCAAGCCTTCCCCCACCTTCCTCTCGGACATCTCCACCCTCCTATCTTCCCTCTCCCTCTGCTCGGTACCCCCTAATCTTAGGTGACTTCAACCTCCACTTCAACCCCTCCTGCTCTAGCTCTGCCAACTTCTCCTCCCTCCTCATCCACTCCCCTGCCCACGACCGTGACCACCTCCTTGACCTGGTGGTCACCTGGGGCCTCACAGACTTGGACATCACCATCATCGTTAAAGCGATTTCGGACTACCACTTCATCTCCCTCAACACCTCAGTACCCCTCCCCCTTTCTCAACCCTTCACCATCACATACCGTCCGTGGAAAAAAATTTCCTCCCTCTTCCTCTCCACTGCCCTAGAGTCATCTGAACACCTACACCTCTGGTCCTCACTGACTGTTCTCCCCTCCTCACTCTCTTTTCTCCACAACTCCCTCTCCTCCATTCTGGACTCCCTTGCCCCCCTCACAACTTCCCGAATTGCCTCATACACTTCATGCTTCACTACACCAAGACCTACCGCTGCGCTCTTGCCTCTGCCAAATCCTCCTTCTACTCCAAGGTCATCTTGGAGACAAAGGACAACCCCTGGTGTCTCTTTTCCACCAAAAAACGTCTCTTCCGTCCACCTTCCCATGCCTCGCCCATCCTCTCCTCAAACTCCAACTGTGAGGAGATTCTGGACTTCCTCGAATCCAAAATTGAGGGGATACGTTCAGCCACCTCAGCCCCGTCCACAGCCACCCCCACATCACCTCTCCCTCATCACCATCCATCTGCTATCCCTTCGACGCTATCTCTCCCTCCTCCCTTACCACGACTGTTCGCAAACTCAAACCCACCACCTGCTCCCCTGATCCCATCCCCACCTCTCTCCTCATCTCCCAGCTCCAACTTCTGGCCCCTTTCCTGTCTGATGTCATCAACCTCTCCTTATCCACCGATTCAGTTCCCACCCCCCTAAAAACAGCCGTCATTACCCCCATTCTGAAAAAACCTTCCCTGGACCCTTCCCTCCTCTCCAGCTACCGCCCCATCTCTAACCATTCCCATCTCTAACTAACCCTTCTCATTCAGTCCTCCCAACAGGAATCCTCCCAATAGCACATTTTCCTAATCTTAAAAATGTCTAAGTGAAGATCTAAGTGAAGATCAAGCCTTTCAAGGACAAATAAAAATGTCAGACAAGAGAGAGAATGCCAATTAAATGGAATAGATATATAATGGAACAGCAATCACAGTTAGGCCTTCTCAAAATGCATGTTGATGGCCAGGGTAACAACTCACCATGTTAAAGAGGTGATACCACTGATTAATCAGAGGATCAAGGGGAGTGGGGCCTGAAGCGTTATGGGTGAATTGTCTTAGCATAAATTGGTTTTGAACATAATTGGTTTATCTTGCTTTACAGGTGTGTTATTGTAATTCAATGAATTTTGCTCTTAGTGGAAAATCACTGAACATTTGCATGGCTGGAACTTTAAGTTAAATTTTCCTGATGATTGTAGTCATGTAATTTTTGTAATCTTATTAGAAATAAGTAATGTATGTCTTCTCCACATCTAATGTCTTTGTCTGTGAATGTTAATTTGGTGACCTTGCAGTCCTTATCTAATGTTAGTCGTGTAGTGAAGGAATGTTCAAATGAGATGGTCTTGAAGGAAAGATTGTGAAAACTTGTTTGTTCATGTGTATAAATATTCGGCATTAACTAGCCAGAAGTCAGAAAGTACCCGGGAAAGCCAAAAGACCAGAAGGAAAATGAGAAACAGATGCTGCTATTTGCTTGTATTCTGTTCTCTAGAATGGTCATTTTGCCTTCTCTATCATAAATACTGCCATGTAAAATTATTGCCTCTATGATTATCTCTGTGAGTTTGATTAACTTGGTGTCCAAACATCTGCTGAAAATTCACATCAACACTGGTTAATCATACTATAACAAGCTGTGCCCATTGCAGCTACACTTGGAACCAAAGGATCCAATATAGAATGTAGATTCCATTGAATGTAGAATCCTGTAGCTCAGTGGTTAGAGCACTCGCTATGCAAGTGAGGAGACCTGAGTTCAATTCCAGGCAGAGCGAAACCTTGGGCAAGTTTCCTTACTCCACACAGAGCCTAATAATAATCCCTCCAAAACCAAAAACAATAATAAATTGGTCATCTTCAATCCACGACTGTTTGTGGGACATTGCTGTGCGCAATTGGCTGCCGCGTTCGCCCACAAATATATACAGTCAATTCACTTTACAGTCTATTCTGTGAAGCCTTTTCCGAAGTCGAGAAGACGTGAAAAGCGCTATATCAAATGCAAGGATTATTATAATGTAGATTGACATACAGATAGACATTTTACCTTTATCTATAGTCATCTGGGATGGCTCCTGTGGGAGGATTCAGTGGCACTTGGAGCTTTAAAAAATGAATTTTGTTGTTGTTGCCGCAGCTTAACTTCGTCTGTGTTCTTTATTTTGTTCCCACCACTGGGCTACGTACATGCTGTGACGCAGGATGCCACAGCGCCACGGTCAGCCGGCGCGGTCACTAGGTGTAACTGCAGTGCGCACACACATACGTTCTCTGTGACGCACAATCTCACAGCGCCACTTAGACTTGGCGACCAGCAGGTGCAACTGCAGCGAAAAATACAAAATTGAAAATAACTCATGAACAACAGGAGATACCCAAAAACAAATATACCCATGTCACTCCCAGCTGCAAGATCTTTCCAGTGAGGTATAAATCATGGATCTATGTGAATCGCATATTGAGATCCTTCTTGAAACGCAGACAGACATTGTCGTTTTATTAATATAGATTATTAGTATAGAAGAAGATAGTTATAATCCTTGCATGTGGTATAGAACCTTCATGTCCCTAAGAGCTGTTCATTAGGAAATTACAATTTATCCCTTGTTTGGTCTCCTGGGGTGTTTTACTGCTTTTTTGTTAATGTGCCTCATCATTTGAAGAAAAATCCCTCCGAGGCGGCATCTCCATTGGAATCACTGGTGTCAGATCTTGGACTTTATGTGAAGAGTTTCAATATCTTCTTGAAATGCTACACTGAACACCAGGCCATGCAGAAATTAATCGACGAGATACTGTCAGACTTGATTGCTAGGTATCTCCTCATAGTTAGCAATCTAACTGCATTTGAATAGCATTTAAGATGTAATGCAGGTAAGTGGGATGCTTTTGGAACTGAGCTGGCTCCAAGTTAATGTGCCTGGTAATGGAAAATCAGAGTCAGGTCCAAAGCAGTGTTGATGACGTACCAGCCAGCTGACAACATCACTATTCATGGTTGCACTCTACACCTCACTGAGCCAATAGGGAACCTTGGTGTCCTGTTCAACCCTCAGTTATCCTACAAATCCCACAGTCGTGCCATGATCCGTTCCATCTTTCCCCACCTTTCCAACATTGCCCACCTCTGCCAATGCTGCTCAACGCATGTCACCGAATCCTTATCCACACTTTCATCCCATCCTGGTTTGACAACAGCAATTGTCCGCTCACTGGACTTCCCAACTCTTCCCTCCACAAACTGCAGATTATTCTCTGCAGCTCGTGTCCTCTCCCGCACCAGGCTCTGTGAATCCTGTCTGGCTTCACTAGCTCCCCATTCCTCAGAGAATCGAGTTCAAAACTCTTGTTCTCACCTTCACAGCTCTCCATGGTCTTAGTCACCCCTATCTCTCCGACCTCCTAACCCCATATCGGCATATCCACTCCATTCTCTCGGCAGACACTGACCTGCTCCAGGTCCCCCGCACTTCCGGCCCCACCAGTAGTGGACGGGCATTCAGCATCTCTGCCTCCACACTCTGGAATTTTATTCTGCAATCCCTCCATCTCACCCGCTTTCTTGCCTAAAGACTTCACTCTTCGACTGTGCCTTCGGCCACCCTGACACCCACACCCCCTGCCCTCCACTGCTCCTGACCCCAACTCCCAGCTTGGGTCCAAAACCCCTGATTGTGCAGCATCCTGGGATGTCTTTCCGACGTAAATGGCGCTACAAAAGTGTAAGTTGTTGTTGTTGAATTGACTGAATTCTGTGGGCGAAACGTGGCAGCCAATTGCATACAGCAATGTCCCACAATCAGTCGTGAATTGAGTGACCGCATTTTTTTTAGAGATTATTATCCCCGGAAAAGAGATCTGCCAATCGAGGAACAACTGGGTTCCTATTTACTGCAAGGTAAACAGAGACATGTGGAGTAAGGAAACTTTTCAAACATTTCATCCTGACCGGGAATTGAATGCAGGTCCTCTCGCTTGCGAGGCGAGTGCTCTAACCACTATGGTACAGTACTCCACATCATTTCTTGTTTGGCATTTTAATAATAATAATAATATTCCTTGCATTTGATATAGCGCTTTTCATGTCGGGAGGACATCCCAAAGCGCTTCACAGAACACACTGTAAAGTGAATTGACTGTATATTTGTGGGCGACGCGGCAGCCAATTGCGCACAGCAATGTCCCACAAACAGTCGTAGATTGAAAATGATCAATTTATTATTGTTTTTGGTTTTGGAGGGATTATTATTTTGTTTGACCCGTAATTGTCCTTTCTACCCCACATCCATGGGACCCATTCTGCCTTCCTCCACCTCCGCAACATCACCTGCCTCTCCTCAGGCTGCTGAGACTCATCCACGCATTCATCACATTCAGGCTCAACTACACTAAATCCCTGTTTATCAGCCTTCCCAACTTTTCCTCCCACAAGCTGCAGATCATTCCGAACTCTGCAGCTCATGTCCTCTCTTTCACCAAGCTCCATGATCCTAATGCTCCCATTCTTGCCTGGCTCTACTGGCTCCATAATCCCCCAGAGGATGGAGTTCAAAATCCTCGCCTCACCTTCAAAGTCCTCCACGGCCTTGCTCCTCCCCATCCCAGTGACCTGCTAACTCCATATCAACCTTGTCCACTCACTCCACTTAGGTTCCCCTACCCGGCCCGCCCCACCATCGGTAGACAGGTCTTCAACCCCGCTGGCCCCACGCTTTGGAATTCCATCCCACTGTCCCTTCGCCTCGCTCTCTCCCTTGCCTCCTGCGGTCTCAAGACTTCTTACCCTTACGCTCCTGATTCCATTCCCAGCTCGGGTCCAAATCCCTGACTGTACAGCACCTTGGGTTGTCCTCATGACATGAAAGGCACTACAAATGTAACTTGTTATTGTTGCTGTAGGACAATAAGCTTAATCTGGCCCTGACAGTACCATAACTTAGTTATTTAGTTTTACACTCTGCTCTACTATTGCGCCATTGTGATTGTCAACACTAAGGCCATGGTTTTAGTCTCTCCTGTGCACTATCCATACTGGACACTCAGAATCAACATTTTGTAGAATTTATGTAGCGATCCAATATATAGAGGCATGATTGAAGAGGATTGTGCTACAGCTCAGAAAATGACAGAGGTAAAGGTAATTTTACCAGGTCTTATATTTATTGGGTCTAATTTGCAGTATTTCTTATAATAATAATCCTTGCATTTGATATAGCGCTTTTCATGTCTTCTAGACGTCTCAAACGCATCAAAGAACACACTGTAAATGAATTGACTGTATATTTGTGGGCAAAACGAGGCAGTCAATTGCGCACAGCAGTGTCCCTCAAACGGGGGGGGGGGGGGGGTGGCCTGTCACTCTCCGCACTGCCTCATGGCCTCATGCTGCCGCAGTGCGCAGACCAACAAGAGGGGTACAGCCAGGAGATAAAACTGTGAAGTCTGAAATGGTTTGCAGGCCGGATGAAATCACACACCGGGCCGGTTGCATTCTTTGGGCCACGCTTATTATTTTATAATACTCCTTGTACACTTATATTATAGTAATCTTGGTATAGAACCTTCCACGTCAGGAGGGCATCCCAAACAGCTGCTCAGTAGGAAATTCCAATTTATCCCTTGTTTGGTATTCTGGAGAGTTTTACTGCTATTATATTTTTCTTAATATGGCTCATCATCCACTTGAAGAAAATTCCTTCCAATAATTCTGTCAAATGCCATGGTTGGATTGCTGAAATGTAATTCAACTCAACAACAACAACTAAATTACATTTATAGAGCACCTTTCATGTCGGGAGGACGTCCCAAGGTGCTGGACAGTCAGGGGTCAGGATCCGAGCATGGGGGAGGGGTGGGGTAGGGGTGAGGGAAGGCAGAGAGGTGGGAGGTCGACCGAAAGCATGATTGAAGAGGAGAGTCTTGAGACCGGCCTTGAAGGAGGCAAGGAAGGAAGTGAGGCGAACCGATTGTGGGATGGGATTCCAGAGTTTGGGGGCAGAGAGGCTAAAAACCCGACCACCGATGGTGCGGTGGGTTAGGCGGGAGACATGGAGCAGGCCGGAGCCCGCTGAATGGAGGGAGCAGGCAGGTTGGTAGGGAGTCAACACAGAGAGGTAGGAGGGGGCAAGGCCATGGATGGTCTTGAAAGTGAGAAAGAGGATCTTGAATTCGATCCTCTGAGGGAAGCCAGTGGAGTTGGGCAAAGGTGGGAATGATGGGGTCACGGAGCCTGGTGCGCGAGAGTACATGAGTTGCAGAGTTTTGGATAATCTGCAGCTTGTGAATAGAAGAGTTGGGAAGATTGATGAGGAGGGAATTTCCATAATCGAGCCCAGATGTGACGAATGCATGTGTGAAGGTTTCGGCAGCCTAAGGGGTGAGGCAATGGCGGAGTCTGGCAATGTTGCAGAGTTGGTGGTAGGCAGTGCCGGTCATGGCGCAGATGTGGGGGAGAAAGGACAGTTCAGGGTCAAACAAGACACCCAGGTTCCTGGCTGGCTTAGTGAGGTTGAGAGTGCAGCCGTGGAGGCTGACGCTGTCAGCGCCCGAGGTGCGGAGGCACTGGCGTGAGCCAATCAGGAGGGCCTCGGTCTTGCTGATGTTCAGTTGGAGAAAGTTGTCCCTCGTCCAGGACTTGATGTCGGACAGGCAGTCGGTCAGGACGCTAGTAGTCCTGGAGTTGAGGGTGGAGGCAGAGAGATAGAGTTTGGTGTCATCCACATACATGTGAAAATTTACCCCATGTCTGCGGATGATGTCACCAAGGGGGAGCATGTAGAGGGTGAAGAGGAGGGGACCGAGGACAGAGCCCTGAGAAACACCGCATGAGACGGTGCGGGGGCTGGAAGAAAAGCCGTTTGCTGAGAGGAAGTGGAGGAGGTGTGAAAGGTAGGACCTGAACCAGTCAAGGACAGAACCTTGGAGGTTGAGGTGGGAGGAGAGGCAATGGAGGAGGATTGAATGATCCAGAGTGTCAAAAGCGGCGGAGTGGTCGAGGAGGCAGAGGGAGCCCTGGTCACATATGGTCAGGATGTCATTTGTGAACTTGACCAGAGCAGTTTCTGTGCTGAGGCCAGCACGGAAACCCGATTGGAGGGGCTCATGAAGGGAGTGGGAGGAGAGGAAAGAACGAAGCTGGGAGGCAATGGCTCTCTCAAGGACCTTGGACAGAAAAGGGAGGTTGTAGATGGGCCTGTAGCTGGACAGCTGTGATCGGCCCTGGGATCCGTTACTATGAAGCGCTCTGAGACGCCGTCCGGCGTGGAGGGCGCTATATAAATCCAAGTTGTTGTTGTTGTCATCAAGGGAAAGTTTCTTCAAGGTGGGAGTGATAGTGGCTGTTTTGAAGGGGGTAGTAACAGTGCCAGATGACAGTGAGAGGTCGATGATGTCGCCAAGTAGTGGGGCAAGGAGGTGCAGGAGAGGCGTGGGGATGTGGTCCAGGGAGCAGGTAGTGGGCTTCATGGAGAATATGGTGGTGATGATAGAGGAGGGGGTGACAGGTCAAAGGTGTGGAAGAAGGGATGGGTAGTGGTCGGAGTGTGGGGGCGCGGTGTAGGGAGGGGGTGGAAGTTGGGAGGGCAGTGTCAACTGAGCAGATTCCTTTGATTTTGGACTTGAGGAAGTCCAGCATTTCCTCGCAGTTGGAGTCGACGGAAAGAATCTGCAAGGCATGGTGGGGAGGGCGGAAGAGCCGGTTGGTGGTGGAGAACAGGAGCCTGGGGTTGCCCTTCGCCTCCAAGATTAACCTGGAGTAGAAGGACGATTTGGCTGAGGCGAGAGCGGTAGGTTTTGATGTGGTCCAGCCAGATGTGCCGGTGGTCCTTTA